TATATATTTAAAGGATGCTGATTAATAAATGTTTCATCTTTTACAGCTCACATGTGCTGTCGCAGTTCCTCCAGAGATATCAGGAGAGCAGACGGTACGTTCAACAAACCTTCACAGTATTTTACAGCTAGTTAACATGTACAGGGTTCCCACACCTTCTGACCAATGCATTACTGGTCTTTAAAAATAATTTCATACACATTACACTCATAATAAGCAATTTCTAGCCAATTAAATATTTTAGAGCCAAGCATAACTAGAATAAAATTGTACTCACTATAGAAATTTCCAGGACTGGAAATCCCAGTTTTAAATTTCCCTCATATTTTCAGGTTTTCCATCAATGTGGGAACCTTGTATTACAGAACAGGTTGTTTTCTTGTCCAAAAATGCATTTAACCACCACCTTCATCTAATTACCATGTTGCATCATGTCATTCATGGTTGTAAACATTTCACACCTGCCTCCCATCCTCAGTGTTGTGTGTGGGCCGTCACTGGACCTGCTTCCAGCAGTGATGTCACAGTGATTGACCCGGCTCGCTCCAATACCATTCTGGATCAGTTCAGCCTCCCACCCATGTCCCCTGCGTTATGCATCTGTGCTGTGCCCCCTACTGGTCAGTCTGAGCTCTGCAGCTTTGTAGAATTTACCCAGGTGTTCACAGCTGGATCAGTGGTGATTGTGTAAGACTTCTGATGTCAGGGGGGATATCTGAGTAATAGTACTTAAGTATTATCTAGATTATCTTGAATATTACTCAAGAATACCTTAACATGTACGCTGTTTCCAAGGTGGAAAAACTTTTTCTTCTTGCATTTTCAAAGTACACTACTTTACAGTAAAACACATACACTACAGTAAAACAGTCATATTTTGACATATTATTACAGTTTTAATAACTGTTTTCTATTTTAATGTATTTTGAAATGTTTTATTCCTGTGATGCAAAGCTGTATATTCGGCAGTCATTAATCCAGTCTTCAGTGTCATGATAGAATGATCCTGATTCTGTTAT